AACCTGGCAGTGTGTGGCCGGCCTCTCGTTGTCTTGCTGAAACAAAGCACTACCTCGATTGACCAAAGTAAGATAATCCATCTTTAGTTTGTCATACACGCGGTTTAGCTGCTGGCAATACAGTTTATCGTTAATGGCGTAACCGCGTGAAACAAGCTCGAAATGCAGTACTCCTTTGAAATTTCCCCAGCCAGATATCAAGATTTGATTTTTCTTTCCGCTTCTTAAGTGAGTCAGGACTTTCTGGTCAACTTAGTATATATATATATATATATATATATATATATATATATATATATATATATATATATATATATATGTGTGTGTGTGTGTGTGTGTGTGTGGTACTTATTGGCACTCAAATCACTGAATATATATATATATATATATATATATATATATATATATATATATATATATATATATATATATAGATAGAGAGAGAGAGAGAGAGAGGTGATGCCATATTTATGAGTTAGTGCTCAGTATCAGGGACAGAGCGTTTGTAAAATATAATAGTAGACATTGAGGTCAACACTCAGAAGCGACAGTCTGTTTCATGCTTAAACGCAATCTTCAGGTCATGAAGATGACCTGAAGATTGCGTTTGTTAACCTCAATGTCCACTTTACACACACACACACACATATATATATATATATATATATATATATATATATAATTGAAATATATAATAAAAAAAATTGAAAAGTGTGTCTATTTGAGACATTGAAATGATACACACACAAACATACACACATGTGTGTGTTTGTGGGTGTGTGTGTGTGTGTGTGTGTGTGTGTATACTACTATCATTTCAATGTCTCAAATAGACACACTTTTCAGTTTTTATTATCGGTGTAGTTTTCTTTACTATTAAAATGTTTTCATTGCCTAACACCCCTTAAGTGTAGCCGCATAAAAATATGATCCAGTTTTAACTGCTAAATCGCGAAAGTTATAAAAGCGTCCAGAAAACGACACATTTGACAATGAATGGAAATTTAAAACATTTCTTAATATTTACATTGATGTATTTAAGCTTATCATGGTACTGCACATACCTAACGTGAAGAAGACTGGATAACGCCACATTTAGAGCAAGTCCAACAGCATTCGAAATCCTGTTCTTCTTCTTTTTTTTTTATCTTGGCCTAGACACCAGTGTTTGGTAACCGTTGAAAATACGTCACTAGCTCACCTACAAGGCGTGCCTATTTAAAAAGGTTTCTTTTAAAATTTAAAACAGCATTGTCCACCAAAATAAGAAAGAAAGGAGGAAAAAGAAAAAATAAAGATAAAAAATTAGAAGAAAAATGTTCGTCTGCGTCGCACAGAAACTCGTTTCCATGGAGATATGTTGCTACCTTGAAGTTTGGTTATTTTAATTAACCACCCTGAACAGGAGTGGTAGCACCTGCTTGGGTCCCAGCTATGAGCAAATAATGAACCCCCCAAACAAAAATCAAAACACTAGTAAATTATAAAGATACATTTTATAGTAAAAATACCAGCAGTATGTTTTTATAGAAAAAAAATTACCAACGATACATTTTTGTAGTAAAATTACCAACACATTTTTTCAGTATCTGTCTTAAGGACAGTGGATAAAGGCGTTGGTCAGATCCAGTGACAGGACCCAAAGAGTTGTGAGTTCAATACCAGGTTAAGGCAGTGTAGAACTTGGAGAGGTGAATTAACAGATAACTGATAACTGACATCCATTAGACATGGCAAGTGGAACTAGAACAGTCTACACCAGCTAGCGAAATAAAGGGTTCAGTTCGACATTCCAACCACCTGAAGAAGGCTGGAGCGTACAACGGCCAAAACGTTGTGATAAATATGGCAACAAAGATAAGGACAATAGTCCGAATAATGTAAATAGTGAACACATTTTTTATGGCAAAAATGGCCATCAATATATTTTATAGTAAAATTGAAGGCATAGCATACAAAATGAAAACAATTAATTTGTCGGAGTTAACTCCTCCTTAATTGTCCAAATATTTCACTAGGGAATACTGTGCGAATTCTTGCTTCGTTTTCTTTTTTTACTTTGCATTTCAGCAGATACATTTACAAAAATGTGATCTCTCGCAGAAATCTGCGGTTTGCCCACTTGTGGGAAAACGCCATGAAACACCTATACACGTACGCACGAACTTTCACCAATATACAAACTCTTTACGTTCACACACAAACACAAATGTTGATGTCTTTGTCACTTGTAAATTTGTTGTTTAATTCATATATTTGTTGACATATATATATATCAGTCTTGTTTGTTTTCTTTACATCTTCGGTTGGACTCAACTTGAGTCCGCTATGTTGTTGTGGTTGAACCTTCTTCTAGCAGGAATAAACAGCACGTGTTCCTAATTGAACAACTTGTAAACCCACACAGTCCTCTACAAATTTCATTTCTTTTAAGGAAAAACAAGTTTTCACTCGTTGTTTGATTCTGTAAGATGATTTGGTATAAAAAATGCATCTAATTAATTATAATTTGATGATAAAATAATTCCATTCTCTTGAATTAATTATAAAGTTTGAATTTTCATATTTAGATTTCGGTATTAAATAACCCATAAAGGTGTTGATATGCCGCTAAACAATCTATTTAAAACTAAGTACTTACTAGAAATTATTCAGGTAGTCAGTTCAATATTCATTAACTTGACAACAATACCTTTCCGTGGTTACTTTTGATTTTACAAATATATTACTAACAATTAAAGAAGAAACAACGACTCTTCTGACATGCGTAGAAACAAGATCCGGTTTTTGCTAATCTGCGCTACAGGAGGCAATGTCAAGCTTCTCAAATTTCAACTCAATTGTCAACTACTTAAAGTAAACTAGTTAGTAGAATTGTAGAGAATTTATTTGACAAAGCTGCATAATTAAACTCATTGATGGCTTTCTTTTGGCATCGTTTCGACATGGGTGAATAAAGGAAGATTTATCGACATTTAAGACCACCAGAAAGTTAAAAGATTTAGGTTTTTGATGAGATATAAATAATTCTGACGAGCTAGTAGATTTTGAATTTAGTCACTTGCAACTTTCTGGGGGTGACTTTTCAAGCAGTGGTTCCCAAACTTTTTTTTTTTTTATCTCTGGGCCGCATTTTTGGAATGATATGGGATAAAAAGTACATATAAAAATTAAAAAAAAAAACTAATAGTCCGTCGAATATAATATGTAACACAAATATCTTATAATATTATTACATAAGTACACAAATTTAATGAAAGGTATGAGCTTGTTTTTGACGAGTAATCTCCTTTATAATTTGAGATAAACAAACTCTCATCTCCTCATCAACACAAATGAAGCCTTTCCCTTTTGGGATTTTGATATTTGACAGAACTGAAAACCAAGACCTGAAAACGTGCAAGCAGCCCTACAACAAAGAAGGTCCAGAGAGAGAGAGAGAGAGAGAGAGAGAGTTAAAGGGAGATAACGCGGATTCGAAGTGAGAACATCACTGATAACTCTCTCCTCCAATTTTCGGACCCCTAATTATTTGAAACTGTTTCTAAATCTTTGATTGTCTTTCAATCATTCCGCCTCACCTGCTATCCTCTTCCACCGCACCCATGAGACGCCTCACACCGTTTGGGAACCAGTCCTCTAAAGGGACTGCAATACATTAATTCACTGGTAATATGTTATTAACCTATACTCTCCTGGAGTCAAATTAAAATGATGCCTTCTTTATATAGGACTGCAATACATTAATTAAATGGTAATATCTGTTATTAACCTATACTCTCCTGGAGTCAAATTAAAATGATGCCTTCTTATATATATATATATATATATATATATATATATATATATATATATATATATATATATATATACTGGACTCTCTCGCTGGTTTTGATGTATAAGACTCAATCAGCTCAGTTCTTAGAATCAACACAATCTGCCAGAAAGGACCCCAAACGGCACTCCACAAGTTTTTTGGATATAGAGTTGTCCTCCTAGACAGTTCCCACCCAGTGTGTCCTGTGTCCTGACATTTACCCATATTCATTACTCCACTGTGTTTATATATATATATATATATATATATATATATATATATATATATATATATATATATATATATATATATATATATTACTGAAATGTTATTTACTTTAAAAATACAAAAATATGTACTTTTAAGTTTTTTTCTTTAAGAAAAGCAGGGTAGCCCCAAACTTTCTGCTTGTAATGTATGAGTCATTAAATATATCTTTCCCAGTTATTAATTAATATATATTAATTCAACGGGATCAGTTTATTATGTAATAACGATAAAAACCTGACCCCCATTTTATGTTCAGTAGAATCTTAAATTAATTCTAGTGTACCATCGTAAAAATGACGCAATGTTTTAAAAATTCTTTTATATCCTGAGGTTTTCATATGTGTGTCTAAATATATTTTTTTCGATTATTATGTTAATCTATAGCAATTCTGGAGGAATCGGTTTATTATTTAATCACAACAGAAAGACCGTTTTCCACTTTTTTCATCCACTAAAATCTTATATTTATAGATTATTCGTGACGTCAAAAAAGACGCCATATTTTAGAAGTTTTTATTTGTGTTAAGTTTTCACATTTAAATTTTTAAACTATTTTTTCACTTGTTGTTGTTTCAGCTACTGTTAGAATTCTGTACTTTTGCGTAATCGGATTTTTATCACCTTCCGGTTGCGGAAGCCATTTCGAATGTTCCGCCATTTTCATAACGGACTCTGCTAAATGAAGTCGCCGTACAAAAGAGACAAATTTCGTACAGCAATACAGACAAAAAAATTACAAATGCTTTTTCATGTATATATATGTGTGTGTGTGTGTGTATTCAAAAATTATAACATATGCATGTTATAACATCACTACAAAAATAGCCATTTTGTTTTAATACTCCTGGTGCCTTTTCAAGTCATGGTGTTGAATGTAGAATAAAAAGTTGGAAATATCTGCCTACTGTGGGGAATGATTTTGGGGACGGAGAGACGGTTATTTTTCTTATTCCAAATCCTTGGTGCATGGCTTTGTAAGCAACGTCACTGACCAGGTAACAAGACTAATTAGTCAAAGTTTTCATCATTCATTATCTATCTATATCAGTCTATTCATTATCTATGTATCTCAGTCTATTCGTTATCTATCTATCTATCTAGCTAGCTAGCTATATATCTATCTCAGTCTATTCGTTATCTATCTATCTATCTAGCTAGCTATATATCTATCTCAGTCTATTCGTTATCTATCTATCTATCTAGCTAGCTATATATCTATCTCAGTCTATTCGTTATTTATCTATCTATCTATCTAGCTAGCTATCTAGCTATATATCTATCTCAGTCTATTCGTTATTTATCTATCTATCTATCTACCTAGCTATATATCTATCTCAGTCTATTCGTTATTTATCTATCTATCTATCTACCTAGCTATATATCTATCTCAGTCTATTCGTTATTTATCTATCTATCTAGCTATATATCTATCTCAGTCTATTCGTTATTTATCTATCTATCTATCTAGCTATATATCTATCTCAGTCTATTCGTTATTTATCTATCTATCTATCTATTTCAGACTATTCATTATCTATCTCAGTCTATTCGTTATTTATCTATCTATCTCAGTCTATTCATTATCTATCTCAGTCTATTCATTATCTATCTCAGTCTATTCGTTATTTATCTATCTTCGTCTATTCGTTATCTATCTATCTATCTATTTCAGACTATTCATTATCTATCTCAGTCTATTTCTTATCTATCTATCTATCTATCTATCTATCTCAGTCTATTCATTATCTATCTATCTCTATTCATTATCTATCTATCTATTTCAGACTATTCATTATCTATCTCAGTCTATTTCTTATCTATCTACCTATCTATCTCAGTCTATTCATTATCTATCTTCATTATCTATCTATTTCAGTCTATTCATTATCTATCTATCTATCTCAGTCTATTCATTATCTATCTATCTATCTCAGTCTATTCATTATCTATCTATCTATCTATCAGTCTGTGCACATCTATCTATCTATCAGTCTGTCTATCTCAGTCTATTCATGATCTAACTATCTATAATCAGTCTATTCATTACCTCAGTCTGTTCATTATCTATAATCAGCATAGTCATTATTTATCTAAGTCTGTTCATTATCTATCTGTCCCAGTCTATTCATTATCCATCTATCTATCGATATCTTTATCCGTGTGTGTGTGTGTGTGAGAGAGAGAGAGAGAGAGACACAGAGAGAGTGAAATTCCAGCCTAAAAACACAATATAGTTGTTACCTCTCGACTGGGCTTTTGTGCGTGATTCTTTGTATGTAGAAACGAACGTCCAAGTATTGACGAAATACTGACCAATCCCTGACTCAAAAATAATAATAAATAATAATAATAATAATAATAATAATAATAATAATAATAAGAAGAAGAAGAAGAAGAAGAAGAAGATTCGTCAAGAAGTCGAACTAGTATTACATTATAGTTGTTGACTTTGGTATTAAAAAGGAATGTATATTTGAATGAGCAACTAAACCAACGTATAGATTTAAAGAAAACTCTAGTTACGCGTGTGCGCGCGTGCGCACACACACACAGTCTTTGTCTCTCTATCAAGGGCCGGTGCCTACTACCCCCGAACCCCATATTATGATAGGCCTAATCTAAATTGTATTTAAATACATTGTATTTATTTTCTTTTTTTCTAGTTGAATTGTTCACCTGTATTGCTTATGATCCATTATTCTACACAATTAGGGTACAATAAAATTTGTATTTCATATGAATACTACCTTATGAAAATTGAGATGTAGTAGGGTGGGGGCCCCGTATCATAGATTCGGTGGGGAGGTATAATAGATTCGTTAGGAGCCTCAAGAGATCCTTGCACAGGCCCTATCTATCTCTCCATGAGTGGTCATTGTTATTCATAGCTTACTCACCGCGACAGACATTTAATACTTTTAAAAGCTATGATAGATCAGTGGCATCATAGCTAGCGTAGCGAGTTCAATCCTCATTGGGCACACTGCTGATGTGTAGTCTTGTGTCAAATTAAGTTAGGCATAATAAATATCAATAATATATATAGGCTAAGAATTACTCTCTCTTGTTAGTACCATGTAATCCAATAGAAACTGCCATTTGGTTAAATTCGCTCCTAAAGAATCCGCCTATGGAATGGTAGACATCGAAACTCGTCTAAATAACTACATATTCTGCTTTTCATAGAGCAATATTTATTTTCACCCCCTCTTTTCACGGGGGCAAAAATGTAACATATGGTTATGTTTAAATTGGAGACTTTCCTGCGTAAGTTCTCCAAATTCTCTATGCACTTACTTTTGGGACGCCTTAGATATCAGGGATTGACTAAGCCTAACATTTTTAAATGCAATGGGGCCGGTAAGGGACCGGCCAGTTTTTGGTTCAGATAACAAGACCAGGGGCGCAGATCA